CTTATATAATAATCTACACAGATTTCTCTATAATAATATGCTATAGATAGATCATGGAAGCATTTATTTTCATTAATTCATGGACCTTACAAAATATATTATAGGATAGTTTACCATTTTTGGAGACGAATAAGGGTGGAGTATGGAATATCAACTGAATATGAAAATATTCCATAAACAAATATGGTCAAACTAGGATGTTTTCTTTTGGACTGAAATTTGCTGGTCTGGTCTGATGTGGTATGGTCTGGTCTGGTCTGGTAAATGTCTGGTCTCTGTGTATTTTATAACTACGGAAGTCAAGTCTGGTCTGATCTAGTTTGATCTGGTCTGGTCTGGTCTGGTCTGGGACTGAAAACAGTCCAAAAGAAAACAAGTGATGGGTAGTTTGGGTTCACATATAATGCCATAAAAAACGTAACATACGTATATTATGCACATGAAATTAAGTATGTCTGAAAAGTTCAGTTTTAATCATATCGATATCAGGAAATCAAGCAACATCAATATGAATAAAGAAGATGCTGTTAAAAAAACAAAGATTAGCAAATACTATCGTATGTGAAAGTATATCATCATATGTCTATACGAAAAAAATCTGGAGGCTAGAGTAATCACGATAAATCTGGAGGCTAGAGTAATCACGATTAGAGCATCTTCAATGCTATAATGTCCACGGTGCACATGTGGCATGAGTGATAGCCACATAATTATTAGCAAATAAATTATTTTTCTCCTTATTTGAATGATTTTATACAATTTTGGTAAGTTTTTCCCTGCAAAGTCAACATTAGACGGTCTCCTTGACATTGTGGAGAAAAACTTACCAAAACTGTATAAAATCATTCAAATAAGGAGAGAAATAATTTATTTACTAATATTTATGTGGTCATCTCTCATGCCACGTGTGCACCGTGCACATTGTACCATTGAAGATGCTCTTAGCAAAATTTTTGATGAAAGTTTTTGATCATCTTATTTATTAAGTCTAGTTTACGCAGACCAAATTTCAGCTAAAACTTCAATCGATAAGGTAGTCAAATGAATTTTTGAAGATAACTGCGCAGTTAAACAGCGCAATATATTTCAGAAAATCATTTGATTGCCTTACCGGTTGAGTTTTTAGCTGAAATTTTGTATGGGTAAACTAGATTTAATGAAGAATATGGTCAAAAAAATTCATCAAAAAAAAATCACCGGAAACCGCCCCTGACCCTTTTCCGAAGAAAAATATGGCTCTTGGAGGTTCTATACGGATTAAGTGGCTCTCAATGGCACTACTATAAAGGACCACTTTTCATTTCTGACCAATGACATGTTGGACGAACTATACGGTTCCTCTTACTTCTCCGAAGATTTTTTTTTCTTTATTTCATTAATACACTGTATTTTAAATACTTCGTATAATATTTTAAAAATCAGTAGAATCAGCCAATCCAACTACTTCAATCATAAATTTCAAAATCGCTTATTCAATCATTTCTAGTATTACCAAACATGCTCTATATTTTTTATCATCTATGGAGTATTTCATACTTTTCACTGTCCCTCCTACTACATTTTCTTTAAATATTATGTCAAGTCTTTTAAATTGAGAGTAGACCGGTTGAGATAAATTAATGGGTTTACAAAGAAGATAGGTTGAGAGAGTCCACTTATACGCAAATTATATCCTACACTCGGGTGTACATGTACACCCGATATTACTTTAATATATTTACCAACTATAAGTCTTTTAATCAACTACTCTCTCATCCCTAATCTCTGAATTACCGACCATCTTCCTCACTCAGTCATCTGCATGGAATCGCTGGAGCTGGTAGGGGTAAAAGGCGAATTGACGGAGCTCGACTCTGCAGCTGGTCCGAGCTCTGGATAGTTTGATTTCCTCTGCTACGCCACACATCGGAGCTCTGGATAACTCGAGTTTCTCTGCTACGCCACACATTGGAGCTCCAAAATGTCTTTTCTTCTGTTTCTAAACATATCCTCCACAATTGTTGCATTTTTAAGAGAATGCAACTTTCTCCTTTCCCCTTTTTAACTCACAACTTTAATGATTCAATTAATTGAATATTCAATTTTATATATTAATACTGAGCACATTAGAAATGATATTTATTTTAAACTCAAATGAGTAAAACGCTCATAAAGAATGAACATACACAAACAAGTTTTTGAATTTTTTGATACCGATTTTGTAAGTTATGTATATTCATTTGGTACTTCTCTTATATTCATTTTAAAATGTTACATCAATGCATATTTCAAAAGTCTCATATTACATTAGATTCACATAAGAGTCGATTATAGACACGAGATCACAAATCATGATACTCAATCGCACGATTCGAATACTCAATAACGGAGGTCTGATGTTCACTGAAAATGTCTTAATACTCAATGAACAAAACTTACAATTTTCATATCAATACTCATCTTATAAGTGACATATACTCATTTGTATAAGTGTGATGCTCATTAAAAGTTCACTAATACTCATTGACTAGAAATCGTGATTTTCATTGATCCCAATAAAGGAGATTTGATGAAATGAAAATGTCGTGATTTTTAACTAACCTTACGATTTTCATATCAATGCGCACATGGGCGGATCCAGGATTGAAAGGTGGGGTGGGCTAACCAGGAAAAGAATTTGTTGTTATACATACAAGATTTAACTCAGAGGTGTTATCAAATCTATCTTTTTTTGAATTATATACTCGAGTTCGAGCTTGATTTCGAATCTAATTTAATGATCCTAGCTTAATGAGGTTCGAACTCGAACACAAACTAGGTTTAAAGTTTGAATAGTTATTCAAGCCAAGTTCGAACATAGTGATGTTTGGTTCGATCCGGACATGAGCCTATCGTTCACTTATAAATTATATGAATAAATTATAGGTACTTCGTATATATCTTAAAATTTAAACATTTTAGTGCAATTTTATAAATTTTTTAATGATTATTATAGATTCGAGTATTTATTGAATAATTCGAACATGAATCTATTAACATGTATAGTCTAAACTTCTACATTCGAGCGTGTTTATTCAGCGTGAAAATCGAACCCCGAAAATCTATCGAGCCAAAATCGAGCTCAAATTCAAACTAGGTAAATATTCCTTTCATTTTGCTTTTTTGAAAGTATGTTCATTATCCATTCTAAATAACATTTCTAATATTGGTATGAATTAAAATACTTCTATAGAATTATAAAACTAATAAGAAAAAACAAGCGTTAACCTAAAACTAATATGTATTCCCATTTTTAAAATTCAAGTGTAATTTTTAATTCTTTTTTACACATCCACACTTTAAATAAAGGGATAATTTGAATTTGCACCCCATATTATTGTCAAAATTGGACTTTACACCCCAACCTTTGTTTTTGCACACCAACCTCATATAAAAAGACAAAAATGCTCTTCCATTAACAATTCTTTTGGCCTTCAACATATTCCTGATCAAGAGGTTTTTTTGTCTTTTCATACGGGGTTGGGGTGCAAAAACAAAAAATTTTAAAAACGGGGTGCAAAGTCCAATTTCAACAATAATATGGGATGCAAACTCAAATTACCCCACCCCATAAATAAATCATTCTCTAATCTTCAATTGTATAATAAATACTAGTTTTGTAACGTGCGGTGCGCGATTGGGAAGATGCCCAATGCATATGGTGTAACATAAAAATGCGGTTTCCTGCAATTTTGTTAAACGGGAGGTGTTCTTTTCTTTTTAGAGGATGCCTTATCACTCTTATGTGATTCTTTTGGTTAGGCTTTGTGAGTTATTTGCAATGTTATTAATGGCACCGCATAATTTCAGCAAAGCCATCACGACTCGAGCCCACATGCCCGTTGAGGTCGCCTCCTACGACCAACTTCTCTCCCCTTGGCACTCGTCGCACCACATCTTCAAGATCTTCCCAGAACTGTTGAGTTGTAGATGCATCCAATCCCACTTGTGGTGCATAGGCACTTACCACAGACACAATCTCACCCCTCATCACCAATTTAATGCTCATGATGTGATCGTTCTTCCTGAAGACTTCTACCACATCCTCAACATAGTCACACGCCACAATAATGCCTACCCCATTCCTGGTCTTATCTCTCCCCGAATACCACAACTTAAAACCTCTGGGATTAATCTCACGTGCTTTCTCTCCAACCCATTTAGTTTCTTGCACACACATAATGCCGATATTCCTCCTCCTCATAACTTTGACTATCTCGGAAGATCTGCCTGTAAGAGACCCAACATTCCACGTCCCAAAGCGCAATCTAGCACTCCACCTTCTGTTCTTAGCCCTGCCTCGGACCCCACCATGCCCTTGCATATTTGACATCATCCTCGGGCAATGGGATGACGCGCCGCTTCCGGGCAACGACCTAGCAACCTTAGCATTCTTATCACCACACCCAGGTCTATGAAGTGTAGCGTGCCCTTGCATATTTGACACCACCCCCAGGCGGAGGGATGACGCGTCGCTTACGGGCGACGACCTAGCTGTAGTGATATTCATATTTCGATTCATGTCATGTGATATGACTAGGTGATACTGTTGGTTGTCACGCGCCTAACACAACATCCTCCTCCTTTATCCTGGCTTGGGACAGACATGAAACCAAAAAAAAAATGATCTCATGGCGGAGTTTATATCGCTATGACAATTGATTAAATATTTAATGTCGGGAAAATTCCCGATACACAAGTAAAAACGTTTGAAAATTCCAAAGTAGGTCTGTAATGTTTTCATTCTCAAAGAGTAATTAGTGTCAAGCTTAGAAAATACTACCATGTTTATAGTCTAGTACTGCCAAAACATGACAATAATTACTCTTATTTAGGGATGAAAACATGATAGTCAAATTTTGGATTACATAAACGTTTTTACTCCTATTTAGGGCAATTTCCCTTTAACTTATTGCTTGAAACTTAATGTTCTTCAGACACTTGTTGACCTTTGAATATTAAATCTGTGCATTGGTGGTGGAGTTGGTTTAGTTTAACAGTGTTGGCGGAAAGAAAAACAACAGTATCTCTTTATTGGTGTACTATATCTAAGTATGTAACACTGTAATCACATTATTGTATATGTCCATCTTTGTATCGTGTCAAACATATAAAGATTTCTAAGTGTAGAAATTTGGTGTTATCATATTTACAACAACAAAAACTCATTTTCTATTTTTCTGTTTTGTCTTTGGTGTCTGAACCATTCCTTGCAATCATCAAGGGCGGTATATTTGAAGCATCTTTTCCAAGAATTGCAAGTTTGCAACTGATATGGAAAGAAGAAGACCATCATTACTATTATTGTTTAATAATTCATTATTGTTGTTGTTGTTACTGCGCTTGGTGGAACCGACTGACACTTCCCTGCTGAGGGCAGGAGGCTGTGTTGTTTTTCCAGTTTCCATACTTTTAAGTCTTCTTCTGTTCATCTCTCAACCACGCCCATAATAGCAACCTCTTATATGCTTTTTCCGGTTTCTGACAGGACACTGCCTTGGTGGGGTTGATGGATCCTCATCACTGCTCAACTCTTCATTCTGATCTTGATTGCTCCCACTCGAATTAGAGATATCTAACACAATGATCTTTGGATTATCTTGCTCGGAATCAGAAACACTCAATTTGCCCTTGTACATAACCTGCTCGTTGAACACCACATCTTGGCTACGAATAATCTTTCTATTCTGATCATCCCAGAATATGTATCCATAGTCATCACCACCATAGCCAACGAACGTATACTTGACAGATTTAACGTCTAGCTTGCTTCGGTCAACGGAACTGATATGAACATAAGCAACACAACCAAATATGCGGAGATAGGACAGATTAACCTCCTTACTCGTCCACCTTTCTTCAGGAATGCCATTCTCCAACGAGATCGTTGGACTTCTGTTGATGAGAAAAGCCGCGGTGTTCACTTATCTGCCCAAAACATCTTCGGTAAGCCACTCTTCAACCTCATGCATCTAGCCCGCTCATTCAGTCTTCTGTTCATGCGTTCAGCAACGCCATTATGCTGCGGAGTCCCCTTCGTTGTCTTCTCCATACGAACCTCGTTCTCAGCACAAAATTTCTTGAACTCATGCAGTTCATACTCACCTCCGTTGTCAGACCGAAGCCACTTCAATTTCAGACCTGTCTCTGCCTCAACAAGAGCTTTCGACCTCCTGAAAGCATCAAAGGCATCAGATTTATTTTTGAGAAAATAAACTCATACCTTTCGTGTGGCATCATCAATGAAGGTCATGTAGCAGGCGGATCCTCCCAAGGATGTAACTTCTGCAGGTACCCAAAGGTCGGTGTGAACTAGTTCCAGCTTCTCCGGTTTGATAGCTCGTCTTACCTTCGAGAAACTGACACGTTTCTGTTTCCCGAATATGCAGCCCTCGCATAAGCCAACCTCAATAGTCTTCAGGCCGGACAGTTTGCCCTTCGAGCACAACTCCTTCATCCCCTTTTCGTTCATGTGACCGAGACGACAGTGCCACAAATTCACATCGTTTGTTGCAGCGGCAACAACATCGATGCAGTCCTTCGAGTTCATTGTCATGTACTGTCACGCCCCGGACCTGTCCAGACACGTCAACAACCCGCCGTACAATACGAATAGTCAACCAAAGTCAAACACATTCATATCATACAAAGCGTCTTGAATATCATTCACACATATAACATCCATAAACAACCATAATAAGTAATTCATAATGCAGCGGAAACATTGTTTAAAATAAAATGTCCACACAGGGCTATTCACGAGCACGCAGGCTCTGTAGTAAAATATCCATGAGCATGTTCATTAATGTTATAAAATAGAGTGGAGGAATCACGAACCAAGTCTTCTCCCCGGGGAAATCACTCGAGCAACGAGTACAGGAAGCAAGCTCTAGCCTCAACCTGAAATGGTGGTGGCACGCCCCCGAAGGGGTCAGTACTCTATACGACTATAAAGTACTGGTGTGGCAGGCATCTAATAGATATACAACAAGTATTTCACACACAAGACCCTCAAATAGGGTGATAATATAGTCTAGGCCGTAATCCCAAATTACTCCTTTCAAAATATATACTTACTTTATATAAAGTCAAGTAGTCGGCTCAAAGGCCCATGTTTATTACAAATCATTTCCCAAACCCCGTGACTAATAGTTACGACAATACATAGGGTCTAACCCTAATATAACTTCTCATCTCTAGAGTTCGGCTCGAGTATATCATCATGCCCTCGCATCATAGATCTCCTACTTCATACAATCATATCATAGATCTCCTACTTCATGTATTCACCCCATAGATCTCCTACTTCATATAATCACACCATAGATCTCCTACTTCATCCAATCACACCATAGATCTCCTACTCCATGAAATCACAATTGACACTTGAATCTTATTCAAGTTCATCACAAACAAACCCAAACCTTTAAGTTTTATTCTACCGATATTTCGAACAATCCTTAAGTAGCATCACAATACTATTAAGATTATTCCTACAACTCTTTTATTCTTAATGGTAGCCCCTCCATATCAATAGATATGTGGCAGCCTCCCATGTGCTAAGCATCATCATGCAACCATACATTTACATACACATAACATTCATACATGCGTTAGAAAGGTCTATTTACCATATTTCCATACTTCTACCTCATATGACTCCATATTCATCAATATGTTTTCAATTCATGATCAAGTCCATTACTTATCATTCATATCATGTTCAAGAATCTTTATTCACAAAAAAATGATTTAAGCATTTAGGTAATCTCATGCATAACCTACAAGTTGTAAGCAACTATATGTCGGTCCTCACCTTAATTTAGTTTTAAACTTTTCCTTCTTCATCCAACGGTAAAAGCTTTGGTCAAGATGGATTAAGAACTGATTCCTTGCTAAAAATGAGTGCTAAACGGACTTCTCAAAGTGCTAGCTCACCCATAATCCATTGATACGAAAACAGCCCCTAGAATGGGTGTTTTCCGGCGAACTCGTTTCCTAGTTCGTTTCCAAGATTTGCTCTAGGTTAGTATCTAACCTTTACATCAATAAAATAAATTTATAAGGACATATTATACACTTGGAGTAGTGTACAATAGTTCCACCAATCGTTCATATCATTTGGAAAATGAAAGGAAAGGTTTTGGGGTTAAAACTCACTTTAGGAGAGTAAATCCGTTTCTACGAGGTTGTGTTTTGCTCAGACGATTTGGAAGCCTTCCACTACTCCGATTGATGCAAACTAGACCTTCACGGATTCCTCGTCTTGAGATATTTCTTTTGGTATCTTATACGACTTATTTGGACGAGTGAAACTCAAGTTATGGATCAAACAAGCAACCCTATCTACTGGAAAACGAACCTGCGGCCAGCTTCTTTCTTCCCCTCTCTCTTGAAGTGTGTGGCTCTCTCCTTCTCTATTATCTCAAATGGTTCGAATGTGGTGTTGGGGGGAGTGTATAGGAGACCTCAATCATGCTAAGAGAGCATGTGGTTCTCAAAAAAGAAAGGTAGGATGTTTGATTGCACTCAAACATGGGGTGGACCTCCTCTTTTATTTCCTTTTTGTAATGTTGTAGCTCTTAAGTCAAAAGTCCGCCCCACATATTTGTCTCACCCATTCTTCTTTGTTTTGCAGGTACTAAGGTCATGTGGAGTGGTTCCCAATTGATCCCAATCAATTTGGGGTCCAAAATATCTACTAATACCTCCAAAAATGGAAAGATGGGTCCTATTGTTTTATCTTTTGTCAAAAGATGTCTTTTTGTACTCATCCTAATTTATTTAGAACAAGTCAACTTCCTACATCACATTATTGATCTCCAATATGTGTAAGCTCATCCCAATATTTTATGTGATGAAAATTATAGAAGGAACATATTCCCATTATTTAGCTCAATAATGTCAAAGATGGGACCATATGTGTTTGTATTCTTCCCTAATCATCCTATCGCTTATTTTGACATCATCGTTCATATTATTGGACTACTAGCCATGTGGGTTACCCTCAAGTGGGCTTAGGACTCTACTCTTGAATACTTACTATTTTTAGCAGGTTGGGCCCAAAATAAAGTTTGGGATGTCTAACCTTCCATAACTTGTCTTGAAAGGTTATGTATCATTATTTAGATAATGTTGGGCTCTTATGTTTATTAACAAGGCCCAAATAAGTATTTGCAAGCCCGACACTATATACGAGTTCGAACAGTACAATAATCAATCATGCACTACGTAAAACAACAATCGTTTTACAATTGTTTGGTAATCGGAAATTCAATACATAAACTTCGAATTTTAAATTGAATTTTTAAGGACGTTCAGGTGCGGTGTCACATGTACAACGTACCCTCCTTCTTCCCCTTAGCAACCAGCAAGGCACCTTTGGTGATCTTCCAATTTCTGTTGCCGAATGTAACTGCATAGCCTTCCTCATCCAGCTGCCCAATTGAAAGAAGATTTCTCCTCAAACCAGGAATGTGTCGGACTCCATTCAGTTTCAGCATGCATCCGTTTGGAGTCTTCACGTGGACTGTCCCCTTCCCGACAATTTTAAGAGGCTCATCATCAACAAGATACACCTCTCCAAAATTGCTCGAAGTATACTGTTCCATCACTTCAGAATTACCACATGAATGGAACGAGGCTCCAGAATCCAGAACCCATGACTCCAATGGACTACTCACGCTCAGGATCAGAAGATCATCACCATATGATTCTGCCGCTGCATTGGCAGATGTCTTCTCCTTCTGATCCTTGATCTGCTCCTTGCACTACCTTTTGAAATGTTCGTACTCCTCATAATTCCAGCACTTGATCTGACTTCTGTCCTTCTTACCCTTGCTATTTGATTTGGATTTGGATCTTGATCTATCCCGATTTGACTTTGACTTTGACTTCGTTCTGCCCCGGTTCTCTGTACTCAACGCTGATCCAGAAGTCAAGCCTGATTCCTTCCTGCGAATTTCTTCGTTGACCACCAGATTTCTGGCTTCATCGAATTTCAGTTTCTCCTTCCGTACTGAAGACTGCAGTCACCGTTCCGTTCCAGCTTTCCGGGAGAGAAGACAGCAGAATTAGGGCATGAATTTCGTCGTCGAATTTTATCTCAACTGTGCTCAACTGTGTGATGATCACATTGAACTCGTTGAGATGATCCACCACTCCCGTGCTTTCTGACATCTTTAGGTTAAAAAGCCGCCTCATCAGATGAACTTTGTTCACAACGGATGGTTTTTCGTACATATCCGACAAAATCTGCAACATCTCCTTTGTCGTTTTTGCTTTGACGCTGTGTAGGGCGATGTTTCTGGGCAGCGATAATCGAACCACGCTCATCGCTTTTATGTCCAGCAACTTCCAATCGCTCTCCTTCATGTCTTCCGGCTTATCATCCATAGGTTGATACAGATCATAACCGTACAGGTAATCTTTGATCTGCAACTTCCAGAATCCGTAATCCATTCCGTCAAACTGCATCACCGGTGTCTTCAAATTGTCTGCCATCGTGAGATCACCCTTCGAACCAAGGGCTCTGATACCAATTTTTAGGAATTAAACTCACGCACACGAAGAACAATTAGAGAACACACGAAATTTGGTAACCCAGTTCGCCACGAATGACTACGTCTAGAGGCGCCACCAAGCCAGGAATATTATTGCTATTTTCGGATCCAAGAGATTACAAAGGGAGAGAGCTTGTATTTATAGAGTAAAACCTACCCCTAATCCAACTAGGAGGCTCGGCCAAAAAAAAAGGGGAAAAATAATCAGTACGGCCCAACTGTACGGAATTGTACGGAAAACTTGTTCGTCAAAAACATACCAAAAAATTCGGCGGATAGAGCTTGGTTATATAGTCTCTAACACCTTACAAACTGTTTATGTCTCTATTTTTATGAGATTATTTAGATGAAAGTTTGATATTCAAAACAATCATCATCATAGAATGTTTTGTCATTGGCATGAAAATGTGATAAGACAATTGATGGTTGCTAGACTCATGTCCATTACAAAATTGATACTATAAAAGCAACCTATGCATCACGAACTTAGAATATTGCTACTTTTTATCATCTCATCATCCAATAAATAAGTGACCCTGCAAGTGTTCTTCTTATGGTGTAGTGTCTAATTAACTAACTGTAGGAATCTTGTGCCGTCTGACCTAATAGTTGGGCAATTTGTATATGTGATTCGCAAAAGGATCAAGTTGAGTGCAGAGAAAGCGATTATCATTTTTGTTGAGAATGTGCTTCCTCCAGCAGGTAAGTGATCAAAATGTTGAATATTCCTTTAGTCTGTGTTTTGGACCCTGAAAATTTAGGGAAAAGAGAAGTGCTACTGAAAATAGTTTATTTATGTTTGCTTTGACAAAAGAAAATATGAATGAAATATCAAATTCTATTTTTCCTCAAATTTTCTATTCTTCTGAATGTCTAATATATTTTCCTCTGTATTCTCTTTCCTTAGCATTTTCTAGGATCCAAAGTGGCCCTTCGAATCGTTTTGCAGAAAGCACTGGATGATCATTGGTTATTCAATGAACGCCTAGCTTTAAGCTCACCTAGAGGCACTTAGTTGGTTACCTAGATGGTATAGAAAGGAGTGGCTCTAGGAGTGTTTAACAGGCGTGTATGCATGCCAACCTGGCCTGTTTTGAACAAACTGCAGCAATATTGCCATGAATTGCCTGCAGGTCTTTGTTAATGTCACTTCTTCCATTTGCAGGTGCACTTATGTCCGCCATATATGATGAGAAGAAGGATGAAGATGGTTTCCTTTATGTCACATATAGTGGAGAGAACACCTTTGGGGACTTTGCACTGTAGACTGGCTGTGGAAGACTGTCATTACAACATCACCGTGACTTTGGAGCCCCATTCATCATCCTCATCATCATCTACCTTGCGATAATCATACAAATAGCAATCCATATGTACATTTATTTATTACAATATGTGTATATTCTGCAGCAAGAATGACTAAGGGCCTGTTTACTTTGAACTTAATGAACTGAATTGAAATGGTGACTTATTCGGTCAGTTATACTGGCTTGTTTACTTAGGACTTTATACAAAGGGTGACTTATTCGGTCAGACATTTTCTGACTTAATTCGTTCAGCTTCGTTTTAGTTGTCCTTGCTATACAGACATCCCAATTTATCAGAGTGTCGCGTTTAACCCTGATTTTTCCTTCGCTTGGCTTCTACGTTCTTTGCTGATACCTGCTTTCATCGTTGACACTTGCCCTCTGCTTCACCTATCTTCAGCGCCAAAATCACTTGCCTTCTTCTTCACCTCTCATCGCCGACACCTGCGCTCTGAATCCAATTCCATCACCAGCAACATATTACGGAAGCAGTGACCAACACTATATCCCATACCTTCTTCATCTAGGTATTCTATCTAAATTTATACATTTCTTATAATTGTATAGATTGAAGAGTTTGTTGATATACCCAATCTCTGAATTTTGACATTCAATACAATCCATTAGTTTCGAATTTTCTGGAAAGTATATTTGTTATACAAATTAAGGTAAAAATAAAATGAAATTTAAATATTCATATGGAGGATTTGTCCAGAAAATATAATATTAGGAAAATATAGAAATATATATGAAGAAGAAGTTTTTTGTTTTTCTTGAGAATCGACTACTGAAAATGAAAGTAATTGCATATTTGATTGTTTCTGCTTGTTCTTTTATATCAAATTACTTTCAAAGTGAAAATAGTCCATTCAAAACTACCAACAATCTTATATAGACCTGTGATGAATATATGCATCCCAATGCCCCCAACAAGAATCCCACCAAGCACAAAACCACCTACGAAACTAGCCGCCTTAATTGATTTTCCTCTGATTGATAGAAAATGAACTTTTTATGGCCATAAAGTTTGGCCATGTTAAAGGATACTGTGATGCCTCTGGATTGTTAAAAAAGGGAATATAGATTTGTTAGGGCCCATTTGATAAGTGTCTGAATTAGCTAAATTCCTGAAGTTGTAGTTGGATATGCTGAATTTTATAGAAATTTATTTCTAAACTAAATTTAAAATAATATCTGCACTACTTACCTGCACCAAAACGCTTACTTCAAATGTTTTTTCTGATATGTTTAATTGATATGTCAACTATAGATATAAAACATTGTTACTATTTTGAAGTTTGAATTTTTTTAATAGTAGCTAATGTTCTACCTCTTTCTAGTGGATACAATAATTACATTTCATATTTTTATCAAAAAAGCTTGGAAGTTCTTGATCACCTAATATTCTGCTTGTTGTTCATTTTGTTTATTAGAAAGTGCGCAAGAAGATGGTGAAGATATTGGAGAAGAAGTTGATAGTGCGCAATGGGTACCCAAAGTCTATAATATATGATGAATTTGTGAAATCAAATTGCCAATAGATTAGTAGAAAAATCTTTAAATTTAAGATGATGT